CTGTGTGTCTGTGCAGCGCCCGGCACAACGGGGCCCTGATCTCAGCTGGGGTCCCCAGGAGCTGCTGTAATACATGTAATAATTAATCAATTAGCACAATACTACCTGGTTTATGCTGGCATCAGCCTCCTCTCTGGGAATCAGTGTGTGTGATTTATGATTCTGGGCATCCCTGCAGACAAGGCAAATGAAGGTTTGATCCTCTACGCAGTAGAGTTTTAGCTCTTCTTTGTGGTTCGCACACACTCTTTCTGGCCACAAACTCGGCTCCTCTAACAGGAACTGCTTGTCTATTTCTTCCACCTTCGAGGGTTGGTTGTCAGAGCCGGATTTTCCCTCCTGAAAATCTTCTTTGCACCACGAGCAGGTGATTTTCTCTGTCACCTCTCTCTGGGGCCGGTTGATGCAGGCCTGGCACAAGTTGTGGCCGCAGTGTCTGATCACTGGATCCTGACAGCGCTCCAGGCAGACAGAACAAGTAACGAGGCCCTGGAGATGCTCGACAGAGTTTGTGTCTTTCATGGCTCCTGCGGGAGAGATGGTGGAATGTGAAGTTTATGCTTGCTCCTGGGGTTAGTTTTTGTGCACATCGGTTGCCTATACTGGGCCTTTGGAAAGGAGGAGATGGAAAGGGGATAAGGTGGAATAAATTGGGGGTAGGCAGACAGATATTCCCCTAGGTACCATGGCATTGATAGTTCTCTAGCTCTACCGTTCTGACAATGCCAACAACATGCAAACGGTGACTCTCCCTACCTCTGGTTTATAATGTGGCTGTGTTTGAGGGGATTTTAACAGAGCAAGCGAAAGGCCTGATCTCAGAGCTACCCACTGTCAGATCTCCAAGTTCCTGTTCCAAACCACGGAGATGAGAGAGCTCTTCAAAACAGAAAGTGAGAGGGGAAATAGTTAACATTGGCGTTCTTTGCTGTTCGACATGGCTGTACCGGTTTAGCTGAAACTTAAAAAACCCCAACCAACCAAACCCCGAATCCCGGGGGCAGAGATTTTAGGAACAAACAGGTAAAGTTATAAACAACTGAAAATAGAGGGTTATTAGGGTGAGCATCAGGCAATCTGAATGATGCACATCTCGAATGCTCGTCCTTAGTAGCTCTCTGTCTATGTGGTATTA